GCTTCTGCTCACTCTCTCAAATAAGAAAAGAGAATCTTAAAAAAAAGTCCTACTTCTGACTCACCTATCCATCAAGGTGGTAGTCTTTACTACTAACATAACTTCAACTAACAGATTACTTGGTTAATATTTTGAGGTTTACCACCATGAATGGAACTGGATTTGAAACTCCTAAGGTTTCTGGTTCATGAGCAAATCTAAGTAAAACAAACAAACAAACAAACAAAAAAAACACCTTCTTAGTTTGTGGCAGTTAGGAGACCCCTCCAACTGCTCATTTCCTAGCAATGCCACCAAGGAAGTGTTACTCCATCAGCTAAACATGGCTGGTCTAATTCATGAAATTAGAAAGATCAAACCATTTATAACATAATTTATCATCATATTCATAACATTCAGATGGGGCTTGAAAATGCAACTGAATTTTTAAAAAAAATCTCAAAAAGAAAGATACAGAAGCAGATTTATGTACTGAAGGATAAAAGTGTTCAACATCAGGATCGGAAACTGATTTTTGCAGGACATATTTTTGTATAGTATGTTAATGTTTGATGTACATAAGACACCAAAATCCTCTCTTATCTTTTATATCTTTGACCTCCTCTCAAATGTGTGGTCTCATTCTAATTCCTGCTAATAAGATTCAAAATGAACTAAAGATGATAGTCTGAAAATGTATGGGAAACCTAAAGGAAGGTAAATAAATAATATATCTAATATAAAGCAATGAGTAGGCCATGATTAACAGGTACCTGCAAAATTCCATTAACAGTGCACATTTAATCCTCACAATGATTCCCCCCTCCAAAAAAAATCTGAGTTACAGTAGCTTATCAAATACCACTACTAAAAATGGTGACATGGGAATTTAAGTCTCTCTAAACCCATTAGCCTATCCTGCATGTAACACCCGCTGTCTCTGTAATAGTCTTAACCAGGTAATAATGTCAGACAGAGGGATATAAAATAAAATTCAAAGGACAAAATGCCTTTGTTGCCTGAGGATAAGATTAAAAAGTCCTTACTCTAATTGTCCCCTGCAAACAGTTCAGCAGTTTTTCTAATTTATCTCTTTAAGATATTTGGAAGAAATGTCAAACTCTAACCTACCTGTCAGATCATTAACCTCATGGAGGTTAACAAACAACATGGCTAAACACATCATTACAGAGAAATAGATCCAAGCATTGAATACAGTGTGGGCTTTCCTATGGGCTTGAATTTGAATTCTGAATCTATAACTAAATTTGGGTAACTTTTTAACTTTGATGAACTTGTTTCTTCATCTTTAAAACTGGACTACTGAAGCCAACCTCAAATGGTTGTATTGAAAACTAAATGAGACAAAACACTTTGAGAGGGTTATGCAGGGATGACTAGAAAATAACAACATCTTACACTGAAATATTTAGTAACACCTGCTGAGCTGTATGTAATTTTTCACCTCATCTTATTCAATTGGATATAGAAAACTTGCTATTTACCCTGATGATTTTTTATTAAGTCTTCTTAATATTTACTTGATATGTGTTCCTTATAAAAAATCATTAAAAAAACAAATCTAGTTTCAAGTTGTTATTTAAAGGTTAGAGAGACATTCAAAATAGCATAACATAATAATAGTAAATAGAATTTTGAGTGTTGTCAGCCACCAATAAAACTAATCCCAAGCCTCAGAAATAAATGAATGTTCAGAAAATGCATATTTTCTCTACATGTGCTAAGAAATAACCTCTTAAAATAATGGCAACCTTGGTAATAATTTGAAAAACTTGAAAGACTGTAATTTCATTTGTGATAAATTTTAAAGATAGGTTATTTTAAAGGCAGGTTGTCCAGCCCACATAGTTTATTTCTCCCGCCTTGTTTTTATCCTTCTGTACATTCATTTGTATTTTCTCCATTTAAAGCCATTCTAGTTAGACAGGGAGTGCAGCAATATAATAGATCTTAAAATATTTAGGCTCTCTGATCCAAACAAATCACTCAATTGGGGAAGCTACCACCTTTACTTTTAGTGCAAGATAAAACTTAATAATACCTTTCTAGGAAATGCTACAAGGGCTCATAAGTCAATAGCCTTGAAAGAAAACACTCCAGCCTTGTGAAGTTTGAAAGCCTAGCACGTTAAACTTATTTCCAAAGGCTGAATCCATAATATGAAACACAGTCTGGGTGTTGGTAATCCTTATAGAATGAACTTGAGGCATGCAGGTGTCCTGGTTAGCATTTCATGTTAACGTTGAACATACTTTCTTGTATTTTCCCAAACTATCATCCTGGCTCCTATATGATCTACTCAACATCCAGTAAGAACAGATGGAACAAACAAATGAGTCATTTGTGTCCATGAAACACAGGTAAGTCAGGGAGTGGCACAGACTCATGTCTAACCACATGATTTGCCTAAAGTTGGCAAACAAAAAGTGGCGGTGGCATAGTGGATTAGCAATTGGATTATCTGGCCTCATATCCCATCTTTACTATTGATTGGCTGTGGGGTATTGTATAAGACTGTCATTACCTCTTACAGTCAGTTTCTTCATCTACAAAGAAAATTTTGACTAATTGATTTTTCAAGGTTAGTTGAAAGTAAAGCATTCTTTCATTGCAAATTGCCAAAAATGTGTCCAGTAAGTTTCTTGTTTTCTCTTATTTTTATATAATATATACTATATATACAAAAGTATACCCCCAAAGATATATATAAATATAATATATATAATATGCATATTATAATACATATGTGGATATGTGTGTGTGTGTGTGTGTGTGTGTGTGTGTGTGTGTATAAAAAATATATATGTATACTTTGGTCAAGCATTGCACTGGTCCTTCCTGTATTTTCATGTCAGACAGGATGGCTGCCACCCAAGTCTCACTGGCCTGTGTGGAACTGGTTTTCAATGAACTAAATTTTAACAAGGGATGCTCTCATTTGCATATTGCTCAAGTGTTTCTTTTAGGATCAGTGACATATGAGAGTCTTTCAGGTGGGTTATTTAAATCATTAGCAGGGCACTAGCATCCTAGCATTCTACCTTAGATATGAATTTTGTTCACACCTCAGAAATAGCATGAAAAGATCAAAAGTGGAATGTAGTTCACTGGGTGAATGATAATAATCGTCATGGAATGTGTATAAAGGCATATGCATATCTGTCGGACACATGTAAGTAGGGGTTTATGTGTGAGAAGTGTTCAAATACCTGTGTAACACCCAGTGGGCCATGTCATTCACTGGAGTGGCTCACTTTTCTAAAGGAGGTGATGGAAGTAGTGTCCCATGGAAGAGTTTCAAAACTGTGTAAATAATTTAAATGTCAGAAAACCAGAAAACACAATTCCATGTTTGTCCTCAGGCTCCTCATTGGCCTTACTGAACAAGATACTCTGAACTTTTAGTTCAGAAACCAGAGGTAAACTATCTAGAGAGTAAAAGAGATTTCTTATAAGGATCTAGTAATCCATGGTCTTTCTAAGATGTGAGTATTTCCAGAAAAACTTCTCATGATGCTTTTAGTGTATTTTTTACCCCAGAATCAGACTGAATTTCTCACTAAGAAATATCACTTAAAATTTTTATTAAATAATGTGATTTTCTGAGTTTTTTCTGAATCAGACTAAAGTTATTTAGTTTTATGAAAACAAAACACCTTGTATTTTGCATAAGAGAATACTTCTAATTGTGTATTTATATCTTTGATATAGAAGTTTAGGACACGTCTGTTTCTCTAGGAAAAAAAGCATGAACCAAAAAAACACTTGTAAACATTTTATGCATTGAATTACATGGAAGTATCTCACTGACTTAAAATATGATTCTTTGCTACCTTTTAAATGTTAGGTAAATGCAGGGAAAACCTGCCTCATTGATGGGAAACTCAATTCAAATGTTTCCTTAGTTGCAATGAATTATTAACTTAGATCTATAGAGAAAAAACAGAACCAACCTCATTCTTCCTTTTGGATTATAAATTCAGAGATATTGGAAGCTGGAAAATTCCTGAAAACATCTGATTTAGTAGATTTCAAAGACTCTTCTAGAATTGGATATATGGGGCATATCTAAATAGAAGATCTAGAATTGGATAGCTGTACCTCAGATTTTGATCCAGAGTATAAGAATAGACCTGTTCTCAGGGTACCTGGGTGGTTCAGTGGGTTAAAGCCTCTGCCTACAGCTCAGATCATGATCCTGGGGTCCTGGGATCGAGCCCCGCATCGGGGTCTCTGCTCCGAGCCTGCTTCCTCCTGTTTCTCTGCCTGCCTCTCTGCCTACTTGTGATCTCTGTCTGTCCAATAAATAAAAAAAAAAAAATTTAAAAAAAGAATAGACCTGTTCTCTTCCTGTACTTCTTTGTCAGTGAGAAAATTTTTATTTTCTCATTTAGGGGTCCTAAGACAGATTTTATTATGAAGTCAAAACAAAGCAGGATGTGTCTGTGTGCACATGTGTGTATTTAAAATTTGGAAAGGGACTCACATAAAGGCACTTTCATTTAACAGATTAAGAAACTAATGTACCGAGAAGTTAAGTGAAATCCCCAGAGAGGAAAACAACTAGCTAGTGACAGAATTTAAAAAAAAAAAAAAAAGATAATTTAGTTCTCCTGATTATAATTCTGTGTCTCAAACCTATCTTTCAGGTGGTAAACTGCTTCAGTAATGAAGGACGGCATTGATAAATCCAGCAGAAATTTTTGCATAAAGTTAGCTTGCTGACAGCCTATTAAGCTTGAGGTGGTACAAAAACTGAAAAATCGTATCTCTTGGAAGTTTAACTACTTAGCTATAGTCTGTATACTGGACATGAAAAGATTAAACAGGAATACATGAAGTCTTTTGACCTAGCAGTGGCTTATACATGTCACACAGAGAGCGTTGTGGCTTCAAGATCTACACCCATCATGGGCCTCTTAGCTCTGAATGCAATCAAGCCATTTGTCCTCCAGAGAGAGCAGATTCTACACTTTCTCTATTTCTCTATATATTCACCAACACACAGGGGTGGAACATAGAGGCAGCCAGGCAGAAAACATGAAGTGCTCAGAACTGCAGGAGGAAGAAAACCTCAAACACATATAAACAGAAAAGGAAGATTTCCCTAGGTTTATGAGCAAGGATTTTCCAAAAGCAAGAACAAGTGACAGAGAGAGACTCAGCAAATACTTTATTTGCTAGGCAACATTTCCCAACATTTCCCTCATAGTTAGATTGTAGTTAGGTTGGGGCCAAGTGAATAGTTCTGACCAGTGGGCTGTAAGTACAAGGGACAGTGACATGGCCACTTCTAGTCAGAAGGAACAACAAATGTTTGTTCTCCATGTTCCTTCTCCTTTCTCTTGCTGTGAGAGTGGAGGTCATATGTTGAGAGAACAAAGTCCTCAGATGCATAAATCTAGGACTCTGAAACACTGCTAGGAAGAAAAGCACAGGGGACTTTGCATCAGGGGAAAAAAGGCACATCATCTGTGTTAAGCAACTAATATTTGGGAGTTTGTCCTGAAGCAGAGTTCAGTTTATATTAGAGGGAAATTATTGTTATAAGATTTAGTTAACAAGGATTATTTAATACAAATGTGTAAAAATTCATCAACAAAAACAGCTTATACTCACTGTATTAGATGTGATATAAAAATAAGTTTAAAGATATTGCAGTGCTCAAAATATTTTTATTTCCTTTCTAATTAGCCCTTTAAAAAAAAAAAGGCATGAATTAGTTTAGCACAATCAACAAGAGCCACCAGAATCGGCATAGAACTGCATAGCTCAAGAAGTGACAAAAACTAGAACACACAGTTTGTTCCCCATGTTAATGTTGGCAAAGGCCTTTGGTCCTTCTGTTGCACGGCAATTAAGAATTAATATCAGGGGGTGCCTGGGTGGCTCAGTCAGTTAAGCATCTCTTTGGCTCAGGTTGTGATCTTGGGGTCTTGGAATCAAGCCCCACATCAGGCTCCCTGCTCAGCAGGGAGTCTACTTCTCCCTCTCCCATTTCCCCTCCTCCATGCTTGTACTCTCTCTCTCTCTCTCTCAAGTAAATTAATAAAACCTTTAAAAATTTTTCGAAAATTAAAAAATGTTAAAGAATATCATACTATCACTATATCCTTATCAATGACACACATATATATGTATTATCTCCTATATTAATTACATAGTAAAATGTGTTCAATTATCCTTCTATAAAATAAATTCAGTGTTTTTTTTTTTAAGTAATCCTTTGTAGTCTTGGCAATGTCCTCTGTAAACAAAACCCTGCAGGTATACAGTGTATTGAATGATGTCTGGATTAAGTAGGTCCAGCTCAAATGTGGCAGTCAGTATCCATATGTCCCAGTGACAAAATGAGGTAATTGGTCTCCATTACAGAATATTTTGAAGCACTAGACAAATATAAGTTATGATTAATACTATATCTTTGTTTAAGTGGTAGTTCTAATATAGAAAAAAACATAGAAATCTAAAGGCAATATAAAAGAATGGTGCATTCCATGGAATAAAGAATGTCACAAAGAAATAAAAACCTCATAACTTAAAAAAAGTTATTTCAATTTCAACAGATGATAATGTCTGAGTGACTAATATATGCATACATAATCCAGTTTAGCTCCACTGATTGATTTTAAGAAATTGAAAAGACTTTCTAAAAGCCTTTTTCTTTTGCTATAATAAGTACCATTTACAGAGTTTTCATTTAGTTTCTATATTTTGCTATCATTCATTTAAGTAAATAAAAATCAAAGCCAATATCAAAGTCCACATATAATAACTTCATTTTAAAAAGAAATCTAACTTGGAAGAGAAGAGCATAAGATGTATATTTTAAATCCTTCCTCTTAAAAGTGACGAGTTCTAAACTAAATAAAACATCTGGATTTTCAATAATACTCTCATCTCTTCAAAACAAATAAAGAACACCAAAATGGTAATCAAATAAAGCTCTAGCATTAACTGAGTTGAAACAATAGTTTCTGCAAATGACATTCCCTTCAACTCTCAATGGCCTGTCTCTTGGTTTCAGTGATGAACAAAATCAAAAGTGCCTATGATTCTGTCACTGAATAACTCACAAGTGTATTCCCCTTTTGGCACTGGTACATGAATACACAACTCAGTAAAATTAAAGAAAATGTAGAAATAGAGAATGTACATATAAAAATTTAGTATCTGATAAAAGTGGCATGCAAATCATGCAAAATATGAAATGAAAAATGAAATATTAAAACACACAGATGAACAACTGGTTCACCACTGGGGGTGGGGAGAAGCTAGCACTACATCCCTACCTCCTACTACACATAAAAATAAACCTCAATTAAGTCAAAGATTTAAAAGTAAGAAAATAGAGCAATACTAGATATCAATATCACTGACCTTTTTACTTCAGTCTGAGGAAAGACTTTTTTAGCTGAGTCGAATACTCTGATATATTGGAAGAAATTATTAGTAAATTGGGCTACATAAAGAAAATAATATCAAGAAAAATCAAAGTAAAACCAAAGCAATGAAAAAAACTCAGAGAAAATGTTTTCAATTTATGTCATAAAAAATGGGCAGTATCTCTAGTATGTTGAGAGCTGTTAAAATCAGGGAAATAAATATGAAAAATTCAAAAGAAAAACGGGAAAATGACATGGACAATTTCAGAAATACACAGCTGGTCCTAAAACATGACAAAACATTCAGTTTTCACTTGTTAAAAATAAAATTGAATACTAAAACTACACTCAGATACCATTTTCATTTATCAGATTGGTGAAAATTTTTAAACATTTGATGCATTCTGTTTGTAAGTCTGTGAATTAACAGGCTTTCTTTACTCTGCTGATAGAAATACAACACGTTACCACCCACTGGAGTGGAAATTGGTAGTAAGACTAAAACAACAACAAGGCACCTGCATGGCTCAGTTGGTTAAGTATCAGATTCTTGATTTTGGCTCAGGTCATGATCTCAGATGGGGCTCCACACTGGGCATGTAGCCTCTCTGCCCCACCTCCCCTCTCTCCTTCTCTTAATAAATAAATAAATTAACAAACAAATAAACAAAAAGTAAACTAAACTTTCCATAGCATATACTGGTTGACCTACTATACTGCTAGGAATCAACATGAAAAGTCATCTTCCAAAATACCACATACACAACCAAGCACATACACGTATTCATTTGCCATTATTTATAAAAACAAAACATTGGGAACATCCTTTTGCCTTTTGTCTTTTTCTCATATGTAAAGAAATCACTTGATAAATTATGATGCATTATCACAGTACTAAACAGCTATAAAAAGAAAGAGAATAGTATCCATGAAGTGATATGGAGTGATTTTCCAGGATATATTATTATTAGTTAGAAAAAGCAATATGCCCAAGAGCATACAAATTTTATAAAATAATGTAGAAGAAAATAAATATATATAATCTTACTTTTGCAAAAATAAAAACGAAGTAACAATACTCCAAAATCTAATCAAAGTAGATGCCTACAGGGTGGGAATAGGATAAAAAGAATAGCAAAGGGAGGGAATGTGACTTGGCTAAATATATTTTGAATTTTTAATCATGTTAATACTTTTTATATGCAAAGCATAAGATCTGATCAGGAAGGATAAAAGAAAATCACAAAATGGACATAAAATCATTAAATTGAACGTAATCAGGTATGATTAATATTAAATGCTTATCAAATTGATAACATAAGCATAATATAGTTGGGGGTGAAATAAATAATTGATCCAAATACCCGAATTGTACAATGTTAGTGGAATATAAGAAAACAACAAAAAAGGGAAGAAATCTTGAATATTAATGGTTGGCTTGTTGTTGGTATAATAGTTGGTTTTGGTTTTTTTTTTGGTACAGTAGTTCTGTAGTTCTTCAAGTAGTTTTGGTGTACTATGTAGTATTGAGTAAATACAAAAATAGTTTTGTGTACCAAAGATTTCACTTAGAGACAAGAGATATGTAGACTAGGCAAAAATGAAGAAAATGTGGCATTGGGTTGATATTGTAAATATCAGTGCAATTTCATTATTTATATTAAAATATATTTTCCTACCACTGTCCAATAAAAAGGCCTAAAAACATTGACTCCCAAAAGCAAAACATCTAGTGCTTAGATCTTCATTTCTAAATAGCATTACTCATTACCTGGGCTCTCAGGAAAAATGGCTAAGTCTAGGTCTACATCTGGGAAAATTTAAGGCAAGCCTAAACTATCTTATGTGTCAGACAGTAAAAGACAAATTAATCAGACTTGTTAAAGGACCCAGAAGCCTGCTTGAAGGAACCGGTGAAATTTGGGAAATTTGAGCATCAAATGGAATTATGACAGCAATGGATTATATCCCATTGAATTTTAAAAGAACAAGAACAACAACAAAAAGTTATGTATGAGTTCACCGAAAGACATATATGCTAGAATGTTCATGAGACTATTTTTATGTTGGTCTTCAAACTACCCAAATGTCCATTCATAATGGATTGGATATATAAATTATGATATATTTACATGATTCCATGCTAGAAAGTAAGGAGATGAATTATCTATTGTTCTGTATAACAATATGGGTGAAACTTTAAAAAAATTATGGTGACCCAAGTAGTCAGACATAAAAAACAAAAATGCAACACTACATATTATATAATTCTATTTATCTCAAATATAAACACAGGAAAAACTAGTAAATGTTGCTAGATTTCAGAATAGTGGTTATCCTTGACATATAACTATTGTAGGGAGCTACAAGGTGCTATAATGCTCTATTCTTAACCTGGATGCTAATTACAGCAGTGTGTTCAGTTTGTGAAAGTTCACTGAGCTGCGTTATTATTATCAGTATGTATACTAAAGTGTATATGTGTATACATATTTTAGTAAAAGAAAAAATCCATGAGTCTTAGGTGATAATAACAAAATGCAGTGTTAAGGGGGAGAGGAAAAAGCTCTACTTTATAGAAGAATACCATTAAAGAAACAAGGATGATAAAATTAAAAAGTCTTTTGCAATCACTATTGTAATAATTGATTAAGGAAAGAGTCACCAAAAGATTCTAAATTATTGAGTAAAGCATTTCTGTGAAAGAGAATATTAGTACAAACTTCACAAATCATCCCACAGATTACTTATTAATTACTTATTAACAAAGGGGGAAAGGTACTTTCACAATGAAGAAATCATATGAACATCACCTTCAAATGATGATTATAATTTATTCATGAAAAGTGGGACCAATGTATGGCATATGCCTCCTGATATAATGCCCTAATAAGGACACTTAATAGCTTTTTTTGAAAATCATAGTTAACTTTTTCTAATTAAGAAGAAATAATAGAACAAATTCCATTTGAGGACTTTTCTGCAAGACAAATTACTTATAATCACGTGCAGCAGGAGAATCTTCTATTTTAAAGAAAACTATTGATCCATGTGTCTAGTTTTTGTGCCAGTACTATACTGTATTATCACTACAGCTTTGAAGTATATCTTGAAATCTAGGATTGTGATACCACTAGCTTTGGTCTTCTTTCTCAAGAGTGCTTTGGCTGTGTTGGGTCTTTTGAGGTTCTACACAAATTTTAGTATTATTTGTTCTAGTTCTGTGAAAAACATTATTAGTATTTTGATAGGGATGACACTGAATCTGTAGATTGCTTGGAGTAGTATGGACATTTTTACAATATTTGTTTTTCCAATCCAAGAGCATGAAGTAGCTTTCCATTTGTGTCATCTTCAATTTCTTTTATTAGGGTTTTATAGTTTTTAGAGTTCAGGTCTTTCACCTCCTTGGTTAAGTTTATTTCTAGCTATTTTATTATTTTTGCGCAATTGTCAACAGGATTGTTTTCTTTATTTTTTCTTAAATTTAATCAAATAAATTTTTCTTAAGTAAACTCTACCCCCAACATGGGGCTCGAACTCATAACCCAAGATCAAGAGTCCCATACTCTGCTGACTGAACCAGCCAGGCATCCCACTGTTATTTTACTTTTGCTTTCTGCTACTTTATTATCAGTAGAAATACAATCCATTTCTGTATGTTAATTTTGCATTTTGTGACTTATTGAATTCATTTATCAGTTCTAATGGTGTTTTGGTGGAGTCTTTAGAGTTTTCTATATATAGTATGTCACCTACAAATAGTACAGTTTTACTTCTTTACCAACTTGGATGTCTTTAAATCTTGTCTGATTGCTGTAGCGTGGGCTTCCATTACTATGGTGAATAAAAGTGGCAAGAGTGGACATCCTTGTCTTGTTCTGATTGGAAACACTCTCAATTTTCATCATTGACTATGATGTTAGTATGATGTAAGTTTTTCATATACGGTCTTTATTATGTCGAGGTATGTTCTCTCTAAACCCACTTTATTAAGAGGTTTTTTCTTTTTAAGATTTTATTTATTTGACAGACAGAGATCACAAGTGGGCAGAGAGGCAGGCATAGAGAGAGGTGGGGAAGCAGGCTCCCTGCTGAGCAGAGAGCCCGATGCAAGGCTCAATCCCAGGACCCTGGGATCATGACCTGAGCCGAAGGCAGGGGCTTTGACCCACTGAGCCACCCAGGCGCCCCTTTATTAAGAGTTTTTAACTAGAAAAAGATGTTGTATTTTGTCAAATACTTCTTAAAAATCTATTGAGATGATCATATGGTGTTTATCTTGTCAATGTGATATATCATATTGATTTGCAAATATTGAACCACCCTTGCATCCCTGGAATAAATCCTAGTAGATCATGGTGAATGATTTTTTCAACATATTGTGGAATTTGGTTTGCTAATATTTTTTTAGGGTATTTATTCATTGGAGATACTGGCCTATAGGTTTTTGTTTGTTTGTTTTTGCAGTCTTTGTCTGGTTTAGGTATAGGGAATGCTGATTTTGTAGAATGAATCTGGTCATTTTCCTTCCACTTCTATTTCTTTGGAATATTTTAAGAAGAGTAAGCATTAACTTTTCTTCTAAATGATTAGTATAATTCAGGAACAGATGAAGCCATCTGTTCCTGAACTTTTGTTGAGAGGTTTTCTTCTGTTTTTTGTTTTGTTTTGTTTGTTTTGTTTGATTACTGATTCCAATTTTATTACTAGTAATTGTTCTGCTCAAATTTTCTTTCATCTTGATACAATTTTGGAAGACTACATTTCTAGGACTTTCATTGATCTTCTCTATTTCATTTATTTCTTCTTTAATCTTTTATTTTTTCCTTCCTTCTTCTGGCTTTGGGGTTTGTAAATAAACCTTAAAACTATGTGCAATGTATGATCCTTGGTGATGTGTATGATTTTTTTTTAAAAGAAGCTGTGAAAGATATTATTGGGACAATGGGGTAAAATGAATATGAAGTATTAGATAATAATGTTAAATTTCTTAAGGGTAACATTTGTATGTAAGTCACATAGAAAAGTGATGCTGTCTATAAGGAATATAAGCTGAAATATCTAGAATTGATATGGTTAGTGAAACTTGAACTTTAATTTTCCACAAAATAAATAAAAAGAAAATATAGTAGATGATGTTAATTATCACTGCAGCCTGGTGATATATACGTGTGTGTGTGTGTGTGTGTGTGTGTGTGTGTGTTCATTGTGCTATTTACTGAACATTTTTTGAGGTCTACAATTTTTAAAAGTGAAATAAAATAAAAAGAATAACAGAATGGCTTCTGGAATGGTTCTCAGGCCTCTTATCCCTGGGTTCCTGGTATTCTTTTCTTTTCCACGTACTGGAGGAGGAAACTGGATGATTTTAGCTGGTGGGGGTTCTCATTGTCTAATGTGCGTGAAATTGTCAGAAAACTTTGTTAACATTTATAGATGCTGAAGCCACCCTCAAAGATTTCTGATTCAATTGGCCAGGATAAGAATCAGGTATTTATGTTTTTAGCAAGCACTTCTGGTGGATTTGAAGCTAGAAGCCACATGTTGGGATGATGGCTGTTTCAAATCTAGATGACCACAATCAAGTGGGAGACTTTTAAAAATTGCATATATTTGGGCCTCTTTAAATTTTTTTTTAAAGTCAGATTCTCTGGAATGATGCTAAGTATTAAAATCCAAAAACCCTAAAGAAGCAGAAAGAATCAAAATAAATTCATTTCCTCATGAGATCTTGATTTGAGATTCACTGATTGGTGCTCTCCTATGCCCAAGAAATATTCTGATGGCTATTCATTACAAAGTGTTCTGTTTCTGAGAATAGTTAAAATCACAATGGAGAACTCTGAATTGCATTTTCAGGAAAAAGACAACCTTAGTTAATCAAACAAAAATGAATCTTTTATATAAGCAACATGTTTTATCTTTAAATCATCGCTATTATATAGAATCTTCTCCTTTTTTGATTTATTACAGCTTTCCTTTGTTCTTTATGAATCAAAGAAATATGATATGTGAGAGTTCTTACATGTAAGCACCAAAGCCTCTATTTTTGCAAAGAATGCATAATCTGGAAAGATCGTGCATAAAGAAAAGAGTTTTGTTTTTTTTCCCTCTTCTAAAATGAGAGAGAAAGGAAAATGGCAAAGAGATTGATAAGAGATTGATGACATCAAGGCTGGCACATCTGGCTAATACACATATTGTTTTTCTAGCTAAGAATTTTCATTGGCCATGTCTCTGCTTTAGCATGTTTTCAAAATAGTCTCCAGATCATCTGCAGTACAGTCACTCAGGTTGTTTCTTAAAAATGGAGATTCTTGCCCCAAACCAAAACTTCGAACATCAGAGTATCTGGGAGTAAAACTACACAGAGTCTGCATCTTAACAAGCGCCTGGGGTGATGATTATATACAATAAGAATAAACACTAAAAATTGAGAAATGCTGCTGTATTATTCATCTGTGATTCTTAAATGTTTGTTCCTGGGAATATTTTGTGTATTTAAACAACAGTAACGGCCATAGCTATCACTTCATTAGTGCTCACATTGAGCTAAGCACTTTACATTTACCATTAGATTTAATCTTTACAACTATGCTCTGAGGGACGTATTCTACGTCCACTTCTAGGATGAGGAAATATAACTTCAGATTGTTTCACCAACTTTATAGATGGTCTGTAAACCCAGAGCTAGTAATCCCATCTAGTTGTCTTAGACTATAAAGTCCAAGATCTTAACTGTTATTTTGCAACTTTCCTTTAAAACTTTTTAGTAGATTATTTGTACAGATAGATGATAGTTATCTAGCTAGGATAATTATTAATGGATGAATGAAACGACACATAAATACATTAAGAGGTAAGCTGTGTGTGTGAGGTAATGAGCCACATGGAGAAGAATAGAGAAAGTGCTAAGGATCAGGATAGGAAGAGAAATGGAAAATTCTGCCCTGGAGGGAAATGTTTTATGAAGGGGAAGGCATTTCTAAACGAGGCCTTGAAGGTTAAGTAAAAGATGAACAGGTGGAGACATACAGAGTAGATTCATATGGTTGGAATAACACTGATAGAGGAATAGAGGTAGGAAAGCATGAAAATGGAAGAAGAAACAACACATTACAAAATGTAAAATAAATAGCAAAAAACAAAAATAAAAAAACAGGACTAGATATTTAGGTTGGAGGAAGATCAAATTAGCCCCTCAAGGCTAGCTTAAGTAATTTGAACATTATTCAGGAAGCAAAGAGATGTTTACAACAGTTCCAATTATCATCAATCCCTCTTTCTTTGCTTTTGCTCCTTTCCTGAAATATCTGTCCTTTGATCATCTGCTTGAAAATTATGTATCCTTCAAAACTCATTCCATATGTCATATCTTCCCTCATTTTCCTTGAAAGCTCTCTATTCTGCATCTTACCTCAAAGCTTAATTACATTTTACTTATCTTTGTCCTAGTAAAATTATAGTCAAACCTTGATTTTAGCAGAGTACTTAAAAGTTTGGTCCCTGAAGGGAAGATCCTACCTGGATTAGAATCCCAGCTCCACCACTTGCTTTCTGAATAACCTCAGTTAAGTGATTCATACCCCCTGTGCCTCAACTCTCTTATCTGTAAAATTGAGATCATTGGTACTACCTGACATAATTATAGGAATTATTAACTTACGTAAGCTTTATAAAGTACTATATTAGTTTCTGTAGCATAGCAAATGCTTTGGAAATACTAGATATTACTTGCTAATATACTGGTGTTTACTGTATGAACTAAAGTTATTGGTCTACATGTTCCTTACTAAAGACTAATTTCTTTAAAGGCAGAAATATATGTGGGCATAAATGAGAAAAACACTAGATGTTTATTATTAATGTGTAGAGTTAGTATGCTATGTATTTGTTGGTTAGGTATGTTAGGGGTATTAGAGTAAGAAGGTGAGAATCCTATGGAGAAGTTTAAGACCACAAACTAAATCAAGGGCTATGTTTTGAGGCAAGGAGCCTTTTTTAGGATGGATGGCACTTTGGATTATTTTTCTGTCTAAATCCAGAACTGTCAACACTCACTTTTCAAAATGTCTACTGTTAGGATGAAGCAGAAACTGTAATACAAGCTATCTCATGCAAGCAATTTTATTTGTACATACATGTGAAAATTAAAAAAACAAAAACAAAAACAAACAAACTTGACCTCTTGAGGTCTCCATACTGTTTTCCAGAGAGGCTGTACCAGTTTGCCCATCAACAGTGTAAGAGGGTTCCCCTTTCTCCTCATCCTCGCCAACACCTACTGTTTCTTGTGTTGTTGATTTTAGCTATTCTGACAGGGTTGAGGTGATATCTCACTGCGCTTTTACTTGGTATTTCCCTGATGATCACTGATGGTGAGGATCATTTCATGTGTTTGTTAGCCATTTCGATGTCTTCTTTGGAAAAATATCTAATCATGTCTTCTGCCCATTTTGAGACTGGATTATTTGTATTTTGGGTGTTGAGTCTGATAAGTTCTTTATAGATTTTAGATACTAATCCCTTATCAGACATGTCATTTGCAAATATCTTCTCCCATTCCAAACGTTGGCTTTTAGTTTTGTTGATTGTTTCCTTCACTGGGAAGAAGTTTTTTATCTTGATGAAGTCCCAATAGTTTATTTTTGCCTTTGTTTTCCTTGCCTCAGGAGACATATTTAGTAAAGTGTTGCTGTGGTCAGTGTCAAAGAGGTTACCGCTTGTGTTCATTCTCCTCTAAGACTGCAACACGTGGATGGAGCTAGAGTGTGTTATGCTAAGTGAAATAAATCAGTCAGGGAAAAACAAATACCATAAGATTTCCCTCATATGTGGAATTTAAGAAACATAACATATGAACATAGGCTGAAAAAAAGAGAGGCAAACCATAAAACAGACTCTTAATGATAGAGAACACACAGGGTTGTCAGAGGGAAGGTGGGTGGGGGATGGGTTAAATGGGTGATGGGTATTAGGGAGGACACTTTCAATGAGCATTGGGTATTGTATGTAAGTGATGAATCAGAAAATTTTACTTTTGAAACCAATATTACACTGTGTATTAGCTAGCTGGAATTTAAATAAACACTTGGAAAAAAAATAATAAAATTAAGAAGTCTTACATGATTAAAAAATATAAAATAAAAACAAAAATAAATTGGAATATTACTTGCCAAAAATCACTGTTGCCCATGTTAAATTGGGCTATCTCAGTTCTGGGAGAACGCACCAATGATTTGCAGTATTTTTTTCTGCGTCTTCCAGTTCTCATTATGGTGTTGAATCTGGTCTTTGCATTTAAGACATGACTTAATGGTCATATTTGAAGCCTGAGGAATCTCACACAGGACATTCAAGTGTAATAAGATGTCTCTTGTCACAGTGTGGCAGTAGCTTAAGTGTGGGTCAAGCCAATTATTGAGTTGTCGTCACACATTGAGTTTAGAAGAAATGTAACACACTATTTACCCAAGTATTAGAAATAAAGAAAGGAAAGTATATTTAAAGAATGCATTATAGCATAGTTTAACTCCAACATTTCATGTTTCTGGGGAAGAATTTGAATAAACTTCTCACAAGGCAGAGGAACATGGGGACAAGGTGCTATGTTGGCACTTTATATAATTTCTGGCAAGTAGTTTTCAGCACTCATAAATACTTAGCATCTTTGAAATAGCCCAGTGTTTTATTTTTCTATAACAGCACAGAAAAATGGGTCCATGAAAATGGTTTTACTATCAGGGGAAGTATTGGCATGATTAAAAATGTGAACAGTACTCAAACCTGAATTTTTATGCACAATTTTACTGGATATGTGGGGATCACACCTGTGCTTTCTTATTTTATGCAGAGGGATCATCACAAGAATGAGAAGTATAGTCACTGAATAATATTAATAGCCAATATTATCAAATGTTTACAATGTACTATGAGCTATGATAAACACTGCAGGGACAAAACTCACTTAGTCTTCGCAATAACTGTATGAGGTAGACACTATTATTACATTGATTTTACAAATGAAAAGGCAAAAGAGGCGTTAAGTAATTTGTTCAAGTAAGTAGCTAAGCCAGAATTAGCTTGGTAACCTGGCTCCACAGCCCATGATCTTAACCACTATACTAAATGTGCCATATTACACTACCCTATAATATATTACTCTGTTATAAATGCATTTTTTCTTCATAAAATATCATTTAATTTCACACTTCATCTAGTCATGAAAAGAACTACATTGAAAATGCTAAACTAGGGAGAAAACTTAGTTGCCTTGAATAGTTTAACATGAAAACTCATAATTTTTCATTCTTCACTCAACACGTATTTCTTGAGCATTTGGTATGTGCTAGACACTCAGCTGAGACCAAGGTTATCGTGGAGATCAAGTCAGACAGGTGCTGGGCACTTAGGGAACTAAGGTAGGAGGGCAAGGTGACAATAAACAAGGAAACAAATCAACTTTAGTACTGAAGAAAATGAAATGGACAACATGAGAGAATGTGACCAAAGGGAAGGGCTCTTTTAAGAGCATGGGAGGAAGTCTCTTTGATGGGATGACATTTGAGTGGAGACCTCAGTTGTGATAAGGGGCACCACGGAGCTGATCTACAGAATGAGGGCTCCAGGCAGAGGGGAAGCTCTCTTCAAAACTGAAGAGAGCTGTGAAGACAAGGGACTGCTATACTTTTGCAACAAGCAGTAGAAAACTCTCAGCCACAAGTCATAACTCATTTTCAGGGGGTTGAATATAAATGGAGGTGCAAATTAGCCTTGCTTCTTGCTCCAATAAGACAGAGCTCTAATTAGCATAAATGGGAGGTCACCAACTTATTGTCACCACATGCATAACAATGTGGGGTATTATTTTTCTGATTAAAGTAGCAATGTATTATCATGTAAATAGTTTAATAATGTCTTGATGCCCTTATGAATATATAATACAATTTTCATTTATTAAGTAAAAATTTAATATTCTAAAACCTGAATGCAAGCCCATAAATGACTTTTAATCCAAATTATAATTAATATAAATATTGAAAAAATTCTGTACAAAAATTCACAAAATTCCATGAAATGCTTAGAAAAGTTATCTCTAGTTAGTAGAACTTTGGATTTAGATTTTTCCAAATCTTGGATAATATTTGAAATGACTGTCTAAAAAGAGAGTAATAGATAAATAGTACCAAAACATAATAAATTTCTAGGCAACAAGTGAAGTTTGCAATAATTTGTAATAACATAAAGACCCTCAACCTGCATTCCTCTGTTCTACATTATATTTTACAAATTATATTTACAATATCTATCACCTTCTAAAATACTTATAATTTTCACATTCATATAGTTTATGGATTTTCTCCTGCTCTAGAATATAATCAACATCAGTGCAGAATCACTGACTGTTTTGTTCAATTATATGAAGCCTTGAACATCTCCTGGTACTCAGTAAGTATTGAGTGAATGGGCAATAAGTAAATAAATTGATATGTAATTGTTTTTAATGGTTGAAACTTAAAATATTTTGAGGTTGCAAATTTTAGAGACTATTAATATTACACTGGATTACTTCCTATGTCTTTTCAGTTCTAATCTATGATGCTAAATTACAAGCACTAAATTCAATATGAAGTTTTGAACATATTGGAAAAAAATGTACATCACACTAAGTAAATACAAGTTAACCAGTTTTTAGATTTACATTTAAGAGATTCTGATAGAAATTGCTCCTATAGAATTTGTGCTGTCAAAATAAAAACATGCGCGAGTTTCCTTTTTGTGACTCCCACAAGCTAACAAGTTAAGTGGACAAACTAAGTTTAATATGATACACATCCTGTGTTATACACAAGCATGCGCGCACACACATGCACACACATACACAATGTTAAGTACAACACACAAAGGATAGTAGTAGGGATAGAGATTCATATTGTCATAAAGAGATTCACTAAACTGTTTAAACTTCTAAACTTTGGTTTTAAAAATATTTCTACAGTTTTAGGGTGTCTGGGTGGCTCAGTGGGTTAAAACCTCTGCCTTTGGCTCAGGTCATGATCCAAGGGTCCTGGGATTGAGCCCTGCATCGGGCTCTCTGCTCAGTGGGGAGCCTGCTTCCCCCTTTCTCTGCCTGCCTCTCTGCCTACTTGTGATCTCTGTCTGTCAAATAAATAAATAAAATCTTTAAAAAAATATATTACTACACAGTTTATCTAACACTTCCTCTAAACAGTCCAGTTTTTGTCTACCATATTCATACAAGAGAAAGACTTCTTATTTTAGAATCAGTGCAGCTCTTAAATTTCACTCTAACTTATGACATTCATAAACACTTTCACTTAAGCAGAGCAGAATGGTTAAGTAAAGATTAAAGACTGACATGAAATGTACTAAGATATAAATTACAGAAAACCTGTTAGAATGAAAAAAACTGGCATCCATACTTTGATACATGTATTTGGGCATATGTAGCTTTTGTGTTATTATTTTCAGTTTACAAAGAGAATAAATGTCTGTTATAGAACATTTATCTACACTAAAAGATATACAGAATAAAGCTCTTTACCCTTATTAAAAAAAAACAGAAACAAACACAATTTTGTTTGTTCTTCATCTATGACTCATGCTTTTTAGAAAAAGAAAAATGTCTTCAGATGTATTTTAGAATCCTTTAAAAAACTAATTTTTTAAGACTTATGTATTATGATTTTGTCAGTTTTGCTTTATTTCCAAAATCTTGAAGTAAAATTATCTAAAATGTGCTGCAATAGGAAACAAATTTTGACAAAAGATATAAAAATAAAATATGAAACTCATTGACAAAAAGAAAGCAAGCAAAATTTCTAAAAATCAAAATTTAATCAAATCTCAATTCCCCAAAGTGTTTTAGGGAAAGAAAAAAATATAATTTGAAGCTTACCCTATTCCAGATGCTGTATGTAAAGATTTCAGAGGTAATTCTCTTTAATCATAATAATATACATAATAGGAAATATAATTAGAACCAATTACATAGAACGAAAAACCCAGATTTTTAGAAATGACAAACTGCTAATATCACATAAATGAAAACTCTGGAATTCACACCCAGTTTTGCTAGACTTCAAAATCTTAATCATTCAATGCATGGAATTGTGATGGGGGTCAGAATAAGATAAAGAATCTTTGATAATTATAATTTATGAATGATGAGTTTAGAGCAAAAATATATATTTTTCCCTAATTAAAAAGAATTGTAACTGTATAATCTCTATTTTTGACTCAATAAGAATTATAGAGTAAATGAACCTAATACTTATTGGTAGTTAAAAGATTGCTTAAAGTACTTGTTGACAAGAATGCAAATTGGAACAATCCTTTTTGAAGGGAATTTAGCAACAGTCAACAAAACTACATATGTATTTGCATTTTGATCTAGCAATTTCTCCTCTGGGAATTTTATCTGTAAATATATGAAAATACATATATACAAGTTTACTGAATCATTTTTATAAATACAAAATATTGAAAGCAGCCTGAGTGCTTATAAATAGAAAAATAATTTAAAAATTATGATGCATTTCAAGACAGAATAGTTTGTAGCTGTAAAAACAGAATGAGAGCTCTACAAGCAAATACTCTGTTTACATGAAATATAATCTATAGCATTTTACCTGTATTTACAAAGAAGAGGAAATAAGAATATATATATGTACTTGCTTGCTGTGCAAAAAGAAACACAGGAAGGATAAACTACATTATATTGAAAATGGCTGCCTTCAGAAGGTGCAAGGAGTCAGGGTGAAAAGGATAGAAGGGATGGAGGGAAGTGATATTCCCCTTAGTACACCATTGCCTTTATCTCTGGCTTCAGAACCATGGTAATGCTTCACATTTAGAAACAAATAAGGAAATGAGTAAAAAGAATCAACAGGGCCTGTGGATGGCTCACTTGGTTAAGCCTCTGCCTTTAGCTCAGGTCATGATCCCAAGGTCCTGGAATAGAGCCCCACATCCGGCTCCCTGCCTGGCAGGAGTCTGCTTCTCCCTCTCCCTCCTCCCGCTTCTTGTGTTCTCTCTCTCTCACATACACTGCCTCATGCTCTCTCTCTCAGATAAATAAATAAAATCTTTTAAAAAAAGAATCAACAAAGTGGTGGGGGGCATAAAATGGAATATATATACATATATAATATATGCATATATGCATATATACATGATATACACACATATATATCTCATATATGCATATACACACATTTAATTTTTAAAGAGTTAATTTATTCATTTGAGAGAGAGAGACAGGAGAGAGTGAAAGAGAAGGAGCAAGGGGGAACAGAGAGGAAGAGAAGAAGTGGGCTCCCCGTGGAGCAGGGACTCCCCCCACCCTCACCCCTGCCCTGGGATCATGACCTGAGCCGAAGTCAGACACTTAACCGACTGAGCCACCCAGGGGAACCTTGAGGCACGTATATCAGAAGGACTAATTGTTATGAGGCAGGCCAGGGGTGGGGGAGTTGTTCCCTCTTCAAAGCAGGTTTACTTGACAAATCCATCTTCAAATGGAAAGGAGCAAATATGTGTAAAGTGTTTCACTACATATGAGTTTCTGCATCAGACATCATACAAGTTTCTGCCTTAAATAAAAATCAACTCAAATATTTACAAGTAACCTGAATTCATGCACCTTAGAAGATGCAGAATAATACTTTAAGAACTGTTCAACTCCAAATAAGTTATGATCATATAACAATAATGATAATACATAATATTTATTGACTAATCTGGCAAGAACTATGCCAAGTAGCTTACATTTATAGCCCCAATCCATGTTAAAAATAAGTTTATGATAAAGGGCTTACCAATCTCATTTTATTCAGGAATAAATTGAGGCATAGAGAATTCAAGTAGCTTTTCAAAAGATATATGGGTTATGAGAAGAAGTCCCAAAGGCTTAATTCTGATTCATAACACTTTCTTACCCTTGTGCTGACAAGTATAGCTTATTGCTCTTCTATTTGGGGGCACTAATGCCACTAACTGAAGATGATCAGTTCACTACTATTGTTCAGTATGTCAGGGACAAAGTTGGACAAGTCACCTTCTCAGAGATCCTTGGCTATGGAGTCTTCTGCTGAATCTCTTATCAAAACACATGTGAATAACAAATGCAGGGTGATGGTCGGTCCCACGTAGCTTGTCTGTGTTTTCTTCTTTTAAGTATGATTCTCACAGAACTTGAACAGTCTTAGCAGACTAGAAACATCCTCCAAAGGGACCTGACCCAAACCCAAAGCCCTGATCAAAGGCTACAAATCCTTAGGATAAGTCACCGATTTAACCCCGCATGATCTTGTCCACGAGAGTCGTCTACTCTGAGAAATACAAAAAGAAAACTGAAAAACAATAACAAAAACAGAAAACTCTGGAGAAGAACCGGGAACATCCTTGTGAAAAGATAGATCTTTACTAAGGACGACATTAAAGAATCACCTTATTTCAAAATGAAACTAAGCAATGAGGTAGGCAATCAAAAGAATCTCCATCTAGATTTGGGATAGAAACTGTCTTTAGATCCATCAGTTCTTTACTTATTCCTTCTTCTAGTCAAGGTATTTTATAGCCTGTTTGTAGAGATGCTGACTTATCTTCATTGACAAGTATTCTCCATTGAAACCCTCTACCCTCCAGTCCTCTTATTCCTGCTTATCTCCCTACTGCTTCTGACTGTTAAAACTTGCCTATCTTGTGTCCATTTCCTCCTCTGCTCCGTGCTCAAGGAGAATGGGTTACAAATAAATTAACCTATTTTGTTGAACTATCCATTTCTATGATTCTACTCACTTAAAATATATTTGTCTAAAGAGAGTCATATTTTCAGGAGGCTGAAGTCTTTTAGCCAACTACCCTGTCTGTGCCAGTCTATTTTCATCTCAGGATGGCCTACCTTCCTCTGCATGGCATGGGTCCCAGGAGAAAGCAAGAAAGCTCTGATCCTGAAATAGAATGAGGCTAAGAATAAAGGATCAGAAAGCAGCAATGTTTTACTATAGCTAAGTAAAATTGTAAAAAAGAATTTAAAAATTTCAATAATTGTTCTTCTTTTATTCATGTTCTAATTATTGTTTTATTTGTATATTGATATTTCAAATGTATGTGATAATGACATAACAACTTGAATATCAGGTAGTTGTGTGTGTATACAAAATGGTGTGTATATACATACATATGTGTACACACATGTATATATGTACATGTATACACACAAACATATATATGTACATATACACATACATATATATACACATACATATTTGTATCTATTACACAGAATTTTAAAAAATTAACCCCTTTTTTAACCTCTTATAGATGTAGAGGGTTTTGAGCTTAAAATAACGATAAAAACATATGCTGTGGACACTGAAAATATGCCCATGAAGAAGCAATGGTCCTCAGGTTAGCACTTAGCATAAGGAGAGGCGAAGAGGAGAGGTTCTGTGTCAGTTTTGAGAAGAGACAAGGGTCATCCATCATTTAGACGTAGATGATAGGGAATTTTAAGTATTTTAAGTATTTTAAGTATATTTTAAGTAAGAACAACAACAAAAGGACGGGATAGGTTAGCATTTTAAATACACACACACACATACACACCAGCACACTCTAAGAAGGAAAAGCAACTCAGGATATACACAGCAAGATATAAGAGGTGGGTTGCAGGTCCAGAGCTAAGAAGCTACTCGTGGCCTTTATGTCACACCTCACCTTTGGCAAAGCTCCTTCACACCGTTTTCTGATTTTATATTCACAGAGGAATGAAGTAGGTATTAATACACTGAGTTAACAAAATAGGGAATATTGAAGTAAAGGGCTTAAAGCCAAATGGCTTGTTCAAGGTCACATAAAAAGTAACTGGCAGATCTAGGCATCACATCATGCTTATGACTCAAAGCTTTATATGCTTTTGGCAATAATTATCATATTGGATAATTACCTTGTAAATTATGTTTTACAAACATACAAAGGCACTATATTTTTGAATCTCCCCAACACTGAGAATTCTAGGCTGAGGGAAGTTAATGCCGGTTGGAACAACAGGTCAGGAACCTCAGAGAGATTTCTACCTGACGCTAATAAGGTGGAGCTTATATCTATGCAATAAAGAAAGGCCTCTTTATATATAAGAGCCTTAAAAGATTGCTGTAGGCTGTGGCACAGTACAAACAATCTGAGAGCCCACATGGCTTTGGCCTGGAAATGGCAGTTTTTGCCATAGGATGCCATTCGTGATTATTTTTTCTTGGTCAAAATCTTGGAATTATTAATTCAATTTCTGGACACACAGACTCAACCAATTTGAAAACATACTTACTGCTTTGCCACAAGATTCACCACCATATCTCCCTTCCGCTTTTAGTCCTTTTAGGATTGTTTTAGTTTCAGAGAACAACTGTTTCATCCAAAAGCATGCCCTTCCTCCCTTGGTCTGCATCCACTGACTGATGGAAGGATGGGTGTAAAGGTCCAACCATTCTCCCTCTGCTCAATCCTATTTCCTCCACCTTCCTGCCCTGAGTATTGATCCCAAAGCCATTCTTTAAAAAAGACTTAATAAATATCTTACACCTCTCTCAGTCTCAGGGATTCTCTCCTATAAGACCTAACTTGTGACAACTGATGCCAGGAATGGGATGAGAAAGCAGAAAATAATATCAGGTTTTAGTGTTAGACTACTTCCTACCCTGTGGCAGTGAGGACTATATCCTTATATTCGAAGCCACTCTAGCAGCATGTGGCAGCCTGATTTTAAAGCTTTCACCAGAGGTAAACTGAGATGCATACTGGTAGGAGGGAATGTACTAGCTGGCTAGTGAAGAGATCAGGAATTTGAAAAGTATGTAGGTCACAGAGACCTCAAGGACTGAGTATTACATTTGACATCTCACCATGATGAACTAAATTAGTTTAAAATTGTACAGAAGCATAAACTTAAAAATATTTGGTCCTCTCTGCTAAGTCAAGATATGAGCCACAACATCTCAAACTTATAGTCAAGTTTAAACATCTAGGAGTTCAACAGATGAGGGTGTTGTTACAAGAATGACAACTTATGTGTCCCTCCAGGAAGTTCTTACCTGTGTTGAAGTCAGATAAACTATGGCATTTTATAGGTAGGCTTACAATTTTAAACTCTTGGCCAGTTTTCCTTTTTTTCTTAGGTCTGACTAAACCAACAAAGCTGACCACAACTTTATTTGTCTAAGCAGTAGGTGAAGAAATAAAAATTCTGCTGAAAGAGCTCATTATTGTATGTGCCAATAGCAACAACATTGTCAACTCACTGGTCACACACAGCTGGAGCTGGCGATTTGGACTACTTTGCTGGGAAGGAGTATATGGTCTCAGAAAGAGTGGCAAGATTGAAGACCAATGTTTGCCAGAAGAAAACAAATGGAATCATGCAAATAAAGAATCTGTCTTCATCCTATAGCTCAGGATGAATAAATGAATGTTGAGAGCTTGTTTTAAGACACAACGAGAAGGAACTTCTTAACAGTGACTACAGAGATGAATCATTGATTGTTTCACCTCTGTTTTCTACAAATGGATTTAATTTCACACTATTTATCAATCATTTCCTGAAGAGTCAG